CTTTTCGTAGACGTTTATGTCATAAAACACAAGAACACATACATTACAGAAAAAATAGAAGAAACAACTTAGGAATAAGGACTTAGAAATAAAGCTGATAGCAGCTCGAACTTTAAAGGACTCTCTGAGGCAAACTGGCATTGGAGCAGACTATTACCACAATGCCCTTTGCTGGAATGAGATACCCTTATTTTGTCTTGGTCGTCTACTCTAACTAGTAATTAATTCTAACTCACTTCCATTGCCAAGAGGTATCTATGCAATCGATCTTTCAGTTCAGAAAACACCAGAACGTGTGGGTGGTCGTAAGTTTTGTACTTGTGTTTCTCGCATAGCTCGAGAACTTGCATCCATCAATTTAATGACAGGCACATTTTCCTCGAACTATACACCTCCCGTTTTCCAGCCATCCTTCCATAATGTGTCGGTGTCCTGTTGAGAACAAGCGGCGATTTTTCGCTTCACTGCTTATCTGGCCAGTGACGCGTTCAACCGCCATCTGATTCGTTCCTCTAGTTGCCATTCTCTTCAGTTTCATTTCGTACCTTTCCCTGAAAATGTCATCAGGGATTGAAAATCGCTTTATTCTCTGTACCCTAAATTTTCGGATTAGTTTGAAGACCCCGTTCATTCCTAACTTTGAAGAGAATTGGTGAAAATGAGAAAGATCTGAATTGATGGGGAGGGGGGAGGGGGTATGGGAGATATGAGATGAGAGATTTCGAGGAGTTAACTAAAAGGATTGGATAAGTATTGGGATCTATTCCAGTTAGGGGGCATCATGATGCAGTTTTTCCAGAAAGCTAGGGTAACTCCGAGCCAGGGGGAGTGTAGCCAGTCTAGGGGGGGGGGGGCAGTCACTTGACATGCGTGAAAAGCTGGAATGTTCGAGTTCACACTAGTTCGCCGAGAAACTGCATCATGATACTAACTGGAATAGAACCAAGTATTGAATGGGAGTACGGTATTTTCCTCTTCTACTGCTTTCCCGAAACTTGGAGCATGAACACGGCTTAATGGAAGTGGAGGGTTAGTCACGATTTTTTCCCACATTTTCCATTTTCCGCACTACTATCAGGTGCAATATATTCACTCATTAGTTGTAGGTAAAAAATTGCGAAAAATTGTGACACATAGGAGAGTTGACGGCGCTATCGCAATATACGTGGGCAATCCCTAGGACTAAGCCTAGGAGGGTGCAGGAACTTCTGGGAAAATGGAAATTGCTCACGCACTCTAGATTCGTTCCTTTCCTTCCTAGAGCTTACTCCCGTTTCTAACCAAAGGAGTGTTCTACGTGGTTTTGAATGCGTCGCCATAAGAATGCCCTCATATTTTGCGATAGCGCCGAGTTGCCTATTTCCACTTGTAAGTGCACTCCAGTACACAGCACCTGGGTATTGAGTGCTAGCTCATTGTGAGGTCAGATTGATTGTGTATCGCACATGATAACAGTCACATGGGGGACTTCCCCCTGCTCTTTGAGCTTTTCTCGAATTGTCAGGTGCCGGGGTTATCGCTTTTCACCTTCATAAGTTCTCCTTATTAAAAGCTTCCTGAATGACCGCGAAACCTACCCAGCCCTTCTGATTTTCAATGGATTGGGGGGGCAACTTGTCAATAGTCTATTGCCTTCTTGTTGCTTGCGTTTTCATTAGCACATTTATTACTCGTTAATTTCGCTATAGAACGCTGTCCGTTAGCGGCTCCAGTGGCCGTCTTCTCTCTTAAATGTGAGTACTTTTAGTTTCAGGTTAGGCAAAATGCCAATTCAAATGCCAAAACCACAGTCTCAACATCGTCATCATCGCGTCGATGCGCTTTGGGACAGTAATGCTGATAAGTACCGTGTGGCATGCAGATCTGTGCATGTTATGAGGGTGAGTTCAGATTCGATGAGATTGATCTTGACTTAACCTCCCCTTCAAAAAGCGAGAAAGTGTCGGGTGCAGACCAAACACCACAACTGACGACGGCCTCCAAGTAAATCTGGTTAGAAGTTGTTCATAGTGATAGCTGATTTTTGGTAAATGATAGTTGTAATTAGTGACAACTGATAGAATACAACTGCAACAGGCTAATCATTTCATTGGCAGAAAACATTAACATTTTGTGAAGGCCGTCGTCACTTGTGGTGCATGGTCTGCACCCGACACTTTCTCGCTTTTTGAAGGGGAGGGTACTTATTCCGTAAGAAGGAGGGGCTGGCATGCGGTTAAGAGCGCTCAAAAAATCACGAGAAACATATTCTAGTGTAAAGGTTTAGGACTGAAGAAGGCAGCATTGGATTAGTGGCAAGC